GCCCCCCCCGTCCGGGGTGGGGGGGGGGGGGGGGCGGGAATCAGGTGTTCGCGTACCTGGACTCATCAGAGGGAAGAATTGCTGCTGTGTTGTGACTGAGAGCTCTGCTCGCTGCTGTCCTCTCTTCCAGGGAACAGCAAGGACGGTGGGATTCTGCCCCGCTCCCTAGCGCTCATCTTCAATAGCGTGGGAGAGCAGCTCTACCGAGCCATGGATGTCAAGCCCTCACTCTCCAGCGAGGTGGCCTGGCTAGACAGCAGGCAGGTTCAACAAGAAGAGACCAAGAAGCTGGTCTTGCTGCATGGGGGATTACGGGAGGTGAGTGTGCTTCTCCATCCACTGGGGAAGGAAGAGGGTGCCCTGCACCAGCCTCACATTCTGCCTGTTTCCTAGGAGTTGCGGACTCCACTGAAGAGGAGCCACAACACCGAATCCCAGCTCCAGGCTGCCACTAGTAGCAGTTATGACAGTGGAGTGGGTGGCCTCTCGTCTACCAGCCAATTTGCCAACCACTCTGAGAGCAGCCAACTGGACGGTATGTCTGGGACCCTGCTGTGCTGAGGGAAGGGCAAGTCCTGTGTAGGAGGGGATGAAGCACACTTTGGGCAGGGGTAGAAACTCTCCCTTGTCTCCTCCAATCTGTTGGGCAGGGACCTGCTGGGGCTGCAGCAGTTCCTACAGCCCCCTCTGATTCTCCTCTGAAACCTAGGCTCTTGTTGGGCTGATCCAGACTGTGTCTCGCTCCATGCCTCAAGAGACGTGCAGTTCTCCATATGGGTCTCCTTTTTTGAGATTTACAATGAGCAGATCTACGACTTGCTGGAGCCAGCTCTGCCTGGCCCGAACCGCAAGAGGCAGACGCTGCGGCTGTGTGAAGACCCAAGCGGCAATCCCTATGTCAGAGGTAAAAACTGACCCAGCAGCACTCTGGGGAAGGACCCTGCTGGATCATTCTCCCTACTGAAGGGGACAGTAGTAACCTGGGATGGAAAAGGGAATAATGTCTGGTGGCCAGGAGCACCTGTGGAAAGCAAGCAGTAGCTCTCAACCTTTTTTGTCCCAGGACCCATTTGCGAACATCTGTGGCCAGTCCTGCCCCAGTGTCTCCTCACTCTTGACCTGCTAGCCCCCGTGCCCAGGCCCCAGCCCCCTTGTGTGGGTTATGGGGAGGCGGCAGGGGGGTGGGACATGGGGGGATGAGGGGGAAGACCCAAACAGCTCCTTGCAGGTTGAAACTCTGCAAAGGACAAGCCAGTTTCCTGCATTTTTCTTGTGGGAAAAGGAGAATCCACTTTTGAAGTCTGTTCGTGACCCTTTTGATGTATTCTTGCGATATATACTTTTGGGTCTCGACCCATGGGTTGAGAAATGCTGCTCTAGGGCATTTTATACACAGTCAGCAGTTCCCTTCTGCTGAACTCTGTGGCTGGTATCCCTCAGGAGGCCCAAACAGTGCAGGGAAGTTCAGTCTGGCTGTTGGCAGCAGCGAAGCCTGGGATGCAGTGGGTAGCCAGGGCCTGGGAAGGCAAACCACATCTATCTGTACCACTTTCCCACCTGTCTGCTCTTTCAGATCTGAACTGGATCCACATCCAAGATGCCGATGAGGCCTGGAAGCTCCTAAAGCTGGGTCAGAAAAACCAGAGCTTTGCCAGCACTCACCTGAACCAGAACTCCAGCCGCAGGTTGGGGGCAGGGAGAGGAGAGGAATGGTCATGGGGAGAGGGCTTATGTTATGGAACTAGGTGCTGGACTGGTGCCAGAGGCAGTTGTTGCATGTTCCATTCAAGTGTGTGTTTTTTTTTTTTTGTCCTTGCTCCCTGCAGTCACAGCATCTTCTCCATCAGGATTCTTCACCTAACAGAGGGCAGCAGTGAGATGGTCCCCAAAATCAGCGAGTGAGTGTGGTGCTTGGGGATGATCCTGCTGTGAGCAAGGGGGGGTTGGACCAGTGACCTCCTGAGGGAACTGCTAGCCTGACTCTGATTCTCAGATTGCATGAGGCTAACAGGGCTACAGGTCCAGAGCTCTCCAGGCTGTGGTGCTGTTATGGATCTCTGGGGGGCCTTCAGAAGGTGGAACTCCCTGGGGGTGTGGAGAGCAGCTGTTGTGTGCATGTCCCACTGCTCCCTTTGGAGAGAGCAACAAAGCTCCTTTTGGAAGCACGGGAACATCCTGCATCAGCATGAGCATGGCTGACTGACCCCATCCCTGCATCCGAGGAGGCCCTCATGACAGAGCTGCTGCTAAGCAGTTTAACGCCTATGTCTGGGATGCAGCAAGCTGGACGTACTTGCTAGATCCCTGCTTGCAAAGCAGCAACCGGCAGGGGATTTCTGGGTGAGCTCAGGCCCCTGACCTGAGCTTGGTAGTGTTGTTTGGAACAAACCTCTAGAAGAGATGGCTGAGCTGTCCTGAGGCTCAAGGAAGGTGGGAGTTGAGCTTAGGCCTGTGGTGCATGACAACATGTGGACTGTAATCACAGCAGTGCCCTGGGTCTCTTCCAGACTGTCCCTGTGTGACCTTGCTGGCTCAGAGCGTTGCAAGGACCAGAAGAGCGGGGACCGAATGAAGGAGGCAAACAACATCAACACCTCTCTGCACACACTGGGCCGCTGCATTGCTGCCCTGCGTCAGAACCAGCAGTCCAGGTGAGTAGTTCGGGGACCAGGGTGGTACGAGGGCTTGCCCACATACTTTTCTGCAGGCTCAGCACATTTGTGCTCTTCCACCAGGCTGAAGCTGGTTGTGGTTCCCTTCCGGGACAGCAAGCTGACCCGTGTGTTCCAGGGCTTCTTCACAGGGCGCGGGCGCTCCTCCATGATCGTCAACATTAGCCAGTGTGCATCCATGTATGATGAAACCCTGCATGTGGCCAAGTTCTCAGCACTCGCCAGCCAGGTCAGTGAGATATGTGTAAGTGCTGCGGTCCCTGGCAGTGCAGGGGCTTCTCTGGATCTTCCATGAACCCCATGGCTGGCTTGGATCTCAGGCCTCCTCCAGCTCCTATGCAAGCGAGCTGCTGTCCTTCAGTGCAAGGAGGTGAGGCATTCCTTGCCAGAGTGCACTGTGCTCCCAGGTCCTGCCATCTTGCAGTGAGGCTGGCTGTGACAGGAGAGCACTGGCCTGATGCTATCAAATCTGCAGGCAATGTAGGCTCATATAAGCAACCTGTTTTCTCTTCAGCTCGTTCAAGCTCCTGCAAAAGTGGTTCTCCCATCTATCCAGTCCATCATGAGGGAACACAGACGTTTTAGCCAGAGCTCAGAAGCAGGCCTAAAGCAGGAAATGGAATCTGATGAAGAGGGTGGAGATGAAGCAGATGTGTCCTTGTATGACAAGGAGGTGGGTGGTATGTGTCTTATAGCCTCTGGGGTGATGTATAGGGTGCAGAGGTGGGACAGTAAGACTAGGTCACCATCTTGGACCTGTGGGGCACAAGGTTATGGTCTCCTTTTGTTCTGCTTCTGCAGGACTTGCTGCGTGTTGTGGATGCTGCGCGGGAGCTGCTGGTGCAGGAAAGGCGGGAGAAGCTGCGTCTGGAAATGCAGCTCCGGGAGGAGATCTGCAATGAGATGGTGGAGCACCTGCAGCAGAAAGAGCAGTGGTGCAGGTGCAAGGGGTTGGAGATGGGCACGGGTACTTGTCCTCTCCTAAAGCTAGGCCTCGGCTTCAGGCCTCCAAATTGATGCCATGTCACTGTCTGCTCTCTGCAGCCAACATGTGGATGCCCAGAAGGAGCTACTGGAGGAGCTGTATGAGGATAAGCTGAGCAATCTGAAGGAGTCACTAACAGACTATTACCAGGAGGAGATCAGGGTGTGTGGCAGTGGGAATTGGGGTTGAGGAAGGGAAGTGGATGGGGCAGGGTATGGAAACAACTTGTCTGGGTCCAGGAATGCTGCTGTCATCACCCTTGCAGCATGAAGCCTTCCAGTTTTGTGCATGGTGCCCTTAGGGTGGAACTGCCAGGCATCTCAGCTCCTCCCTGCAGCCCCAGGCTCTGCATAGCCCCCAGCTCCAGTTCAAGTTCTCAGCTGCTTGCTAGCCCCCAGCCTAGTGTTCCCAGGCAGGTAGCAGACACCTCTCCATCTTGCACAGGAAATCCCTCCAAAACATGGCATTGTTGTTTTAAATACATCCTGGAGAAAATGATGACCTCTTCACAGTAACCATGAAGCTTTAGGAATTTCGTCTCCCGTGATTCATGTTGGCCATGTTGAGTAAGTTGCATGGCTGCTTCATTGCCTGGAGCAGGTGAGGCATCATAGAAAATTAGGGTTGGAAGGGACATCAGGAGGTCATCTCATCCAACCATCAGGCAGATCCACCTGGAGTTGCAAACCCTTCACTTACCCGGGTGTGCACGGAGGGTGGCATGTGTTGCTTTCCTGTTATTTACCTAGGTGCTCTCTGAACCAGTCCATTGCTTGAGGAAGGGATGCCCCCCAGGGCCTGAAACATTAACGGGGCTGTATAAGTTCCTGGGTGTCAGCCAGTCTGCTGTTCCCCTCAGGAACGGGATGAGAAGATTGAAGAGCTGGAGGCTGCGCTGCAGGGGGCAAGGGTGCAGCTGGAGAACCTGGAGCTGAAGCAGCAGGATGCTGGGCAAGAGGGCCTGCGCAGGTCAAAGCGAGTGGCAGCATCTGCAACCTCTGTGCAACAGGAGCTGCTGGAAGCCAAAGCCAATCTGGAGCAGTGTCAGTCAGAGCTGAGAACCACAACAGCAGGTGAGAACAGGGGCAGGGCAGCCAAGGTTGGGTAGCAGTGGGGGAAGAGGGCAGGAGTGGAAGCAGTCTGGTCACCTGGTTGTGCCAGTCCCAGCCTTTCTCCAGTGCATCTGTGATTGTTGGCTGGAGCCTTGTCACTCTGTTCCTGCTTTCTCCCAGAGCTACGCAAGTACCAGAGGCTGCTAGAGCCACCACCTTCTGCCAAACCCATCACTGCAGATGTGGACAAGAAGCTGGAGGATGGACAGAAGGTAACTGCACTCCTATGAGGGAGAAGGGGAGGGGGTCTTCTGGCAGTGGTGTCAGGCACAACCTCCAGGCTACCTTCTACTGCAGGCCTCCTGTTGCAAACAGTCTGCAGCTTTGGGGACTAGAGCATGCTGCACTTGGCAACTAAACTAGCTCAACTCAATCTGTGGGATGGAGACTGCTAGGGGGCGAGGCCCCCACCAGAACAGTCCCACACCTCTGTGTCCTACCTGCATGGCTGTGCCTGCTGCTGGCATTGGTTTTCCTGTCCCTCTTGCAGAACGTGAGGCTGCTGAGATCAGAGTTGCATAAACTTGGGGAGTGTCTGCAGTCGGCCGAAAGAGCGTGTTGTCACAGCACGAGTGCAGGGAAGCTTCGTGAAACCCTCTGCACTTGCGAAGAGATCCTGGCTAGACAGGTAATGGATGACAGTGCTGGGATATGTGGGTGGCAAATCTTAGCTGACAATGTCAAATTGCTGCCCAAATCTGGCTTGTTAGTGTTTTCTAGCAGCATGAGACTATCAAACCATGTTTACTGCTGGTCCTCGTCTCCGTCTGTTCCCAGCATAACAGGGTCTCAACACTTCTTGTTCCTCAGCTTGCTTGGAACCCCTTCTAACGGCCACCTGCATCAGGGGCGGACTACAGGGTGGGAAGCCAGGAGGCTTTCAAGTAAACTAAGTCACTTTGAGGTGGATTCAGCTCCCCTGGCTCTGCCTCAGTTGGCAGCTCAGAACTCGCTCTCACTGTAAGGTGCCTCTGTGTGAGCAGCTGGTTCACTCTGACTGCAAGAAGATGGATTAACAGGGTGCTGGGCACATGTGTACAGTATTAAACAGACCAGTTTTGGCTCTGGGTTTCTTGTCACAGGACCAGACGCTGGCAGAGCTGCAGAACAACATGATGCTGGTCAAGCTGGATCTACGGAAGAAAGCAGCCTGCATTGCTGAACAGTATCATACTGTGCAGAAGCTCCAGGCCCCTCCAACATCCACCTTGAAGAAGCGATTCTGTGCCAACAGAGAGAACCTGCAGCCAAGCCAGCCTCCTGGCAAAAAGCCGTTCCTGCGCAACTTCCTGCCCTGCTCGCCTGCCCGTACAGGAGTGGCCGAGAGTGGCCCCTACAGCTGCATCCTGCGAGCCCGTGGAACACCAGCACACAAGACCTTGCCCTTTGGTAAGAAGTAGAGTGGGGCCTGCGGGTTGGTTGAGCCTTTAAGGCATATTTTACTGTGTTTTAGCCACATGTATATAAACGACTGTATCTAGGGTAATTCTTCAGGGCTTGTGTAGACACTGTGGGGGGTGACTACCAACAAGGGTTTTAGATTGTCCACATTGTGTCTCAGGCTAGCTGCTATTCCGCTATACATGGATCAGAGCCTCAAGCCCGGACTGCAATATAACCCTGCCTCTCTTTTTTTGTGTGTGTATTCTGTTACATTGTTTATGCATGACAATAAATGTCTTCTTACTGGCAGCAGCATGCATCTCCTATCAGAACTAGCCCTAGGTTTCCTGGCATCCCCCAGGAGCTTCCTCCCTTTCAGCTTGTGCCTCTACAGCCAAGACAGTTTAAGAATTGTGCTGTAGTTGAGAGATTTTTGGATGGGCTGGTGTGGTCTCTGCTCTGCAAGGCAGCAGCACATAGGGCTAGACCTTAAATCTTACATCTTTAATAAAGAACAAGACTGACAGGACTCACCAAGGAGGCAAGCCAGGCAATTGTGGAACATGTTAAAGCCTGAAAGGCACAGAACAGCTCCATGAAACGGGCTCTACCTTCTCCAAGATGTTTGAGTTCTACCCGTCTCAAAGAGGTGAGAACAAGCTCCTGAGACAAATAGCTGACTAAGCAAAATTACCTTGTCTAAGCCTGAAGAGGAAGACCTAAAGAGCAGTCCTTTCACATCAAGTAATTTTAACCAAGGGTACTGATGCCATTACCAACCATGGCTTTCACTGTGTACTGCAGCATCTCCTGGGTCAAATACTTTACACACCCAACTCACAGTAGTGATGGCAGGTGTAAAGTGTTCCATCGGTGAAGATGGTAAAGCAGCAACCTGGCCTGGAGTAAGCTCTCACCAAACGCTACCTGGCATGGTGGTCTGCTGCCAGCTTTGGGACAGCAGTGCTAGTCTGTTCAGCTTTTGTCCTACACTGAGCAGGGTGATGCAACACATTTGTGTACCCACCTTTTATGAAAGTTGTATTTTCTTACCCGATTTGATGAGAACGTGAGGAAACAGCCAGGCAGGGTCAGAATGATGGAGGGTTAAGGTGAAGCAAGTTAAGCCTTGAGCCGCACTTCAGCTTTTGGCAGCATGTCTGCTCAAGGTCTCTTCATCAGTCCTACAGGAGTACTGCAGCTCCTGCTGGGCCAAGTCCCGCAGGTATGAATAAAGGCAATGCAACCAGCTAGTAAGAGGAAAACAGCTTCCTCCTGCAGCTGACTTCCTTTGTGTTTTTGCCACAGGGTGGGGATTGTAATAACTGCAATATAAAGGGTCTCCATAGAGCTAAGAACTAGGGGAAGCAAGCTCAGAGATGTCCTACTGACAAGGCAGATGTGCAGTTAGTAAAGGCAACACCACTTGCTAGTGTTTGGGGGTAAGGATTGGCCTGAGCCTGGCACTATTAGCATCAGAGTCCAGGGAAGACTTATCTGCAAAAGTAATCACTGTGGAAAATAGTGGACAAGTTGTAAACAGGCACACATGGTTTGATTGGGGCCGAAAGATCTGTGCATGACAACTGGTGTTGCTTTAGAACTGAGGCATTGTAACAGAATCTGGTCCCTTAGCAGTGAAAGGACACACGGTCTCACTGTTCACTTATGCTCAGTTACTGTACAGTCCTGCTTTGTTATCTGTTCCTGTAAGAGGCTGTTTAGCCTTTTTAACTTAAGTTAACCAGAACCCTGTGCCGCAGCCCAGTTGAGCAACAGCACCTTGAGCAACTGTCCAGAAGCTTGTGCAAGATCAGATTTGTTTAAGGCATGAGGCCCAACTGCCCTTCACTTCCTCATGACTGCCTGTGACAGAGAAGCCACAGTGGTATCTGCTCGTCCTGTTCAATTTAGCTTCATATTTTTGCATTCAGTGTAATTTCTTTGACACCTACATATTGGTCCTTAAGGATTCACAAGGGGAGCTGCTGCATAACCCTCTACAAGCCGGAGCCCAGATCTCAGGCCTCTTTCACTGGTCTTGCTTGTAACTGCTTAAGTTTGGCAGCTCTACGCAGCACCATCCCAGAGATGGGATGAGTGACAACACTGCTCTTCTGCACTTCCCCCCCACATCTCAGGGCAGCTAGGGCACAAACAAGATGTGATGTTAGATGTAAGGATCTAGGCTGCTATACGGGACACTGAACAGGGCTACTAGTAAAGCCTGAGCCACTTTTGCCCCCCTCCTGGAAGAACCTGGATCTTTTCTATACTTAGCAACTTTACTTGTTTTAGGACAAAGGAAAATGGTGCCATGAAACAGCCCAGGAGCAGAAATTCAGTCATCAACATTTAATGTATCCCTCTGACTGTTTCTCCATTCAAAGTCAAAACAACCAGGGCACAGACCTAATCACAACCAGCCATTACTGCAGGTCACTTCTGACACCTAGGTCCCCAGATGCTGCTTCCTCTCATAGCAGCAGGGTGCCTCTCTGCTGCTCACAGCAGGAAAGCAGCTTGTGGGACACCTGTGAGTTAACGCACGCAGAGAAGCCTAGCACTCTTGCCATAAGCAGTGATGATCCCATTCTGGCCCTGATGGGAGTTCAGCTCATCTGTTTCACCTGGGGCAGACAAGCCTCCCCCCACACCTGGAACTGCTTCTCACAGACTTGGGATTTGCTACGTTTGGGCAATGACACTGCACTGTCCTGAGGTCTAAGCACAGGCACTTTGTCTGGGCCCCACTGCAAGTTTTGTTGTGCTGCCTGGTCTTCAGGTTCAGGATTCCTGCCCCCAAGGAAAGAAAGTGCCAAACACAGAAGCTTCACTGCAAAGGTGGCCGTTTCAGGGATGGGAAGCAGCCCCTATTTGCACAGCTCACGGCGTAACTGAGGACAGGTTGAGTGGGGACACTCGACGTGTAGGAGTGTTATTGGCCGATAGCGATGCAGGGAGGAAGAAGGAAGCAGAGATCTCCGTGGAGGAGTTTTCTCCTTGGTTGCGTAGTTGCAAGATCTGTCGCAGCAAGGCCTTTCCTTCTTCTCTTGTCTAAAAGGAAGCAAGAAGATAGCATCAATCAAGGTCAAATCCAGGCCTGCTGGAGATGCCAGGAGAGTCACAGTCAAATTCAGCAGGCATGTGAACTGTTACATATCCCATAGCAACACAATGTTGAGTCTGCAGGATACTGTGCACCTTACCCCCAGATATTTACTTTAATGCTATTAAAAGCAGTGTTAAGAGACAACCACCCCCCTTTTAATATATCCTTTGGCACCCAAAGTACAAGCTTTAAGTACCTCCCAGCCACTGCTGTAATACCCAACTACATTCCACAGAGTAGATTTGCAAGAGCAAAGTGCTGAATGGACTTGAGAGAAGTGGAGACTCCACTTTCTAGAAGGGGCCAGTGTCATGCCATGCTGTCCTCTTCTGGGCTCAAGTAACCCAGCATGTCCTGTGATAGGTACCAGGAGATTCTCTGAGGCCAGTGTATGAGGGGAGCGAGCACTATGGCACCCTGGTGCTGTCCGGTGAAGCAGGCTGATCTGAGACAAGGAATCTGGGGGATTCTGATACCAACTGGGCAGCAAGACCATCAGGCCCTGCACAAAGGCAGGAGGCTTTATTCGTGGAGGTTAATGGACATTTCAGCTCACGTTCTTTGCCCCCTAAATGCAGTGCGAGTTAGTTCAGCTGTGCCAAAAAGCAACAGCAGATGTGTGCTCAACACTAGAGGCCTCCACGTGGCCATGAGGACAATTCGCTGCAGGGGATGCAGCTCACTCCTTAAATCAGGAAGTCCCTCTCACTGGGGAGGCAGAGCCAACATCCAAGTCTCCCATGAAAGGAGCTCTGGGGACTGTCTGGCTACTCACATCATTGAACGCGCAGCATTTCTGAGCACATGCTGAGGCTTCGTCCCACAGCTTACACTTGAAGTAGTATTGAGCCAGGTAGCGGAAGGCAGTGCTCACCTCCAGATGCTCCACTATCTCCTGAAGTAATAAGAAAGCAGTAAGAGCCAGTTCCTCTCCACTCAGTCTTGCCTCCCACCCCCCTGCTGCCCCTACGGCACTGACTCACCCCACAGGAATAGATGTCCTGAATGTACTTGATGTAGCACTGTGCAGCCTGTTCGGATTCGTTCAGCTGTTCATGCAGCCTGAGAAAGGAGAAAGACTGTCACAGGAGGAGCAGAGTAGGGAAGATACCTGCTTTTTGCATCTCCGGCTGTTCTGGGTGGACTATACAAAGGGAAAATCACCCCAACACTACCCCACTCCAACTGCAGCAAGCCCTAGCCCACTAGAATTTGCCAAAGAATCCAGCACAGACAGAGCAGTGACCAGCTGCCCAGCAAACCAACACAACTGCCCAGAGAAGAGCCAGCCAGCTGGCAGGAGCTCTTGCAAAAGCTACCAAGGAATTCACTACAATTGTGAAAGGTTAAAGAATTTGCTGCAATTTTGAGTAGCTTTGGCTGTTTGCTTTAACCTCTGCAGCTGAACTTTATTCCACATCCATCCTTTTCTCCCCTAGGCTGTTCCAAGCATCCTCCTCCCCGTTTTTCCATGTAGCTTATCCCCAGTTACACCTTCAAAAATCAGAGCCAGCATCACCTTGCTCACTCTGCTGCTGTGGTACACACCCCTGCCCCACTCCCGACTAGTTCTGAGGCAGGATCTGTCTGCTACTTTGTACTGGGCCCAGCACTACTGTAATGAACCTAATTCCCAATTAGCACTGCCTGACAAAGTCACTCTGGCCCATGGGGAATTAGTATGTTCAGAGACCTAAAACACTGGCATTCCCAAAGACCTTCTGGGTATACTCTCCCCATCACAGTTAATGCCACCCAGCATTTACAGAGATCTCAAACTGCTTTATGAAGGAGTCAATCTATCCCTAAGTACTAGGAACAACAAATGCACATCTGTACTCACTTTGCTAGTTTCACCAATGCCATCTTCTCCACATCTCCCACAGCATAAGCTCTCCAATAACACTGCCAGAGAAGAAATAAGCACTTGCACAAGCATCTCGACAAAACATGTACAGGAGATGCAAGCGAGTCAGAAAGTTGCTGCAGGGGCCTCCAGCAGGGGGATGAAGAGAACTGGGCCTCTGGAAAGCAAGACTGGACAGATTCACCATCTGGTCTGGGCTGACATAGAGAACAAAGCTTCCCTTAATGACAACAGAAATCAGCTAAGACTAGCCTCAGACAACATACTACACCAGCAGTTCCCGATCTCTGGTACGGGTACCACCAGTGGTACACAGACAACAACTTGTCAGTG